CTAGGTAGTGGGACAGAGAAAATGAGTGGTCATGAGAAAGAGCCAGACAAGTAGGGACAGTGGCCACTTTGGCTGCAGAACTCTTATCACAGAGGCTATTGTGGGCCATCAACTCAACATTAAAGGACCGCCCAGTGTCTCACACACCCTCTGCTTCTTCAGGCTCCTTTCACCCAGAGTTATTCAACTGTCTTCATCACGCTTGCAGGTGCTTCCTGACAGAGACATTTCCCCATTCCCTTTCTCTATCCCTGGAGAAATGAAGAGGATAGTAGTCACAACATGTGACCTTCAGGTGGCCAAGCTGAAGGTTCTTATCTCAAGATTTCCATTCCTGTGGTAAAAATATCTTAGGAGCTCTCTGACCCCTGGAGGATCAACGTCCACCAAAGTTCATTGATCTGAAGCACGTCAGGGTCTAGAAGTAGTGCTTTTAAAGGCAATGGGTATGTGTGTGTAGAGGGGAGAAGTCAAGTGTTAAAAGAAACTCTGAACTAACGATAGGGCACAGCTCCTGATTCATTGGACTTCAGAGAAGTAGAAGATGGAAAAAGCCTTCCTGTTGAAGTAATTATTTAAAACGGTCTCTGGCTCATGCTGACTATCTAAGCTATGGCAGCTCTGCCTAGCTCAGCCGCCATGTTCCATGGCCAGAGGCCACGTGTGTGCCACAGCTAGAACCGGCCAGCCAGAAACACCAGCCCTGCCACCCACGAGACACTAGCGAGGGAGATGACTCTGCCAATCTTCCATGCTGTCTCTGCAAGGCTGGGCATTGCCCAGACCATCCCGCCATCCATGTAGGCCCAGTAGAAAGATGAGACTTTAATGCTTAAAGATTAATCAAAGGCTTATATATTTGGCAATGATCAGTAACAAGATGCCCATGCAATCAGAAGTGTAACCCAATACCCAACCTAGATATACCAACTACCTTTGACTGCTATAGACATGTGAACATCCACCTCCATCTTCTCTCTCTCTCTCTCTCTCTCTCTCTCTCTCTCTCTCTCTCTCTCTCCTCTCCTAGCTCCTCTTCTTCCTTTTCCTATTCCTCTCCTATCTCCTCCCATCTTAGCTCCTCCTACACCTTCCCAACTCTTTCCTATTCTCTTGTGCTCAGACATGTTGCAAGTAACACAAAATATCCACAAGACAATGTCTCACCCATCCGTCTTGAAGAAGGCCATTACCTTCACCCTCTGGGAAATTAAACCTCAGGTCAAATGAGGCTACCCTTTGAGATGATGTTGACTATATATTTGGGGAAGTCTGGTCACATGTGCTTTTTATACCTACCAAGAAGATGGGCCAGTGCTTTGGCTAGAAACTAGAACTGGTGGGTTGGAGCAGAAAAGGTTAACTCATTGGCTTGACACTGGGAAAGCCTCACCCAGGAATGCCAGCCTGAGGAGGAGCACTGGCCCCCACCATGGTTAAAGCACCCTAGACTGTTTAAACCATCAGCACACAGACCTCTTTAGGGTAGATCCACCCTCCACACCCTGGTTCCTAACACACTTCAGGTGTCCTGAGTGGGTTTAACAAGGAGACTAACAAGATTTACACACTCAGTTCTGCCCAGATCATCTTGCCACTCTGTGCACACAGTGCTTCATTTTCTAAACAGAAATGCAGGATTTGTTTGTTTGTGTGTGTGTGTGTGTGTGTGTGTGTGTGTGTGTGTGTGCATGCGCAAGCATATATGCACATATCACGAGGCACATGTAGAAGTCAGAAGAACACATGTCAGTTCTTTCCTTCCAAGGCTAGAAGTCACATTGTCAGGCTTGATGGCAATCCCCTTCACCTGCTAAGCCATATGCCCAATCTTTCTGTTTAACTTGGTGGCGGTTGCTAAGAGACTTTCGCGTCTTGGTACTTAGCTGTTTCTTGATTATTAACATATGAAGATGTACCAGTGGCTGTCACTACATCACTGTTGAAAACGCTGACAGAGACAAGTCCTGAAGTCCCAATGACCCAACAGCCACATCTGCAGATGCCAGTGAACTCTTTACCCATCCTTGGGGTCATGGCATTCAGCTAGCTCTGTCCCCGTCCCATGCAGCTCTTCATCTCTAGTTCTCCTTCCTACACAGCCATGGGAGAGATTTTCTCCCATGCCCAGGGGAGCTTAAGATACACTAACACTGAAGCATTCCTTTGAATCAAGCTTTAGAAGAGCAACAAGATAAACATGGCACCTGTGAACCCTAGAACCTTCTAGAGAATAGCACTTTGCTCCCAGACTCCTTTGCCAACTCTCATTTAAGTTACAACCCACTTTAACTGCCATTCTAGAACCTTCTTTTTTATGGATCCCATTTTTATCTTTCTCTATAGATCTTGTGATATGCTTTTAATAGGTTCAGACAAGCCTTAAATAAAATAGGCTACAAGAGCCAGGTAATACACCGGTTCTTTTCTTGATTAAACACTGGCTTTCATACATATTTGAGGCACCTTGAAGACAGAGGCTGCATCTCCTGCCTCTCTGGAACCTTCACTTCTATAGGTAATTAAATACTTGTACTAAGTTGGGGCTCAATCCATTGGTCTAAATCAACTCAGAAATGACCTGTGTTTGCACAAAATAAAGATAGAGAACTTTACTAAGCAGCCAGGAGATACCCATTGAAATCACTCAGTACTAGCAGTTGACAAGCAATTGGGAACTTTTACCATGAATAAGAGGAGAGTTGTAGGGGATGGAATGGGGGAATCCAAAGCAATGGTGGGAAAGGCTTCAGATGAGGGAAGAGGGATGTCTGGGAATTTTTCATGAGATTTGGCAGCTGATGACCAAGATAGATGATGTTTGTTACGCTCTCATTGCTGAGACAAAAATACTTGACAAAGATAGCTTAAGGGAGTTTGCAGGCATGTTCTCTTATGGTAGAAAGGACACAGAGGCAGGAGTGGGTGGCAGTTGGTCACATCACATCTGTAGTCATCATGGAGGAGGGTGCGATGAATACAAGCTCGCAACTGTGTTCTTCTTTTTTATGCAGCCTGGGACTACAGCCTGTGGAACAGAGATGGCTCTTCCACCTCAGTTAGCCCAATGTAGATAACCCCTCACAGACAAGCCCAGAGATTTGCCTCTTTGCTAATTCTAGACAATGTCAATTTTACAGTCAATATTAAACATCAGAGTGAGTGAGATGCCTAGTGTCCCGTGTCAGGCTTTGTCAGGCTTCAAATCTGAAGGCAGATGGGGTTGAGGGTAACCATGGAGACTATGAAGTTGGTCTCTTTTGGTTCATCAGTCTTGTGAGTGCAAGGGGAGCTGGTGAGCAAGACATCTCTGGGTTGGGTGCTAAGCATATAAAGAAACTTCCAGAAGTTGAAGAAATGAGGCTAAGCTAGTAGCCTGACAGAACTCTAGGAGGGTCAGACTGATGTCTAGGAGGACTTGTGGTCCGTTATTCTTGCCTTCCACCTCTTACCTTCCTGTACCTGGAGTCTTCCTCAGCCTTTTCTCCTGTTCTGCTCCTACCAGACCATGACAAATTAGGGATATGGGTCAGGTGACCCACAGTGGTACAGGTTTACACTAGCTGTTCACAGCCACTACTGCTGTGGGTGGCCATTTTCCTTGTCATAGCCTTTATCATATGTGACATTTCTTCCCAGTGTGGGGAGCTAGGCCCAGTGAGGCTTCTCTGCTTTCTTAGCTCCAGCCTCTTGCTGGCAGAGCCAGGAGCAGAGACCTGGAAGCCAGGCAACCTGGGCTTTGACTCTTGGCTGCTGGTGACCTTAAAGATATCTATCTCCTAGCTCAGAGCCCAGGTGCCTCATCCGAGATGCTGACATAATAGTGCCTTTCCCTGGGTGTTCTTTGAGGAGTAAACAAGGCCATAGATGTAAAAATGCTGGGAGTACCTGGGTGCTCAGTAGGTGAGGTCAACATGGCTGCTGGGTTTTGGTCTCAGGGTCACTACAGATAAGACTGGTCCTTCCCAGAGGCACATTCCTTCAATGGGTCTCTGGGCATATTTAGGCCCAGGCTTAGAACAACTGCCTGACAGAATTCGGGAGTCACTCAGTTTTATCTTCAGAAACCAAAAAAAAAAAAAAAAAAGGAGACTGAGGAACTGGCCTTTTCCTGCACTCTGAACTCATTAGTTAGAGAAGGAAATGAAGAGTCGTTGGGGGGTTGGGTGACAGAAGGGCTAATGACCCTGACTTGATCATTATATAAAATGGACATATATTGACACACGGCCTGTGCCCCACAGGCATGCATAACGATTACACAGTGATTAAAATCAGGGATGGAGGCTGGGAAGATGGCTTAGATGGTGAAGTTCTTCTTGTCTTCCAAGCATTAGGGCCTGAGTTCAGTCCCTAGAATCTATGTGAAAAATTGTCAGACAGAATTGTGTGTGTGTGTGTGTGTGTGTGTGTGTGTGTGTGATCCTAGAGCTGGGACTTTAGAAACAGGAGGGTCCCAGGGATTTGTTAGTTTACTGGCCAGTGGGTGTATCCTATTTAGTAAATTCCAGGCCAGAGAGAGACTGTATATCCAAAAGGTTAGGAAGGCAGATGAACAATACATGAGGCTTCTACACACATGCTTGTACACACACACACGCACACACACTACATAAATAACACAGATAGTGCCAGGAATACAGCTCAGTGATAGGATGCTTACCTATCTAGCATGCTTGCATACCTAGTATACAAGAGACATGGTTCAATTATCAATCGTGCAGCCGAAACCAATCAATTAATCATCAACCAATCAATCAAAATTTAAAAAGAAAAAGAAAGCAAAGCAGAACCCAGTGACTGGCTGTGGGCAAGGAGGAGGGAGGGGAAGTGACCAGAGCATCTTGTCATTGTCAAGCTCCTTTAAGAAGAGGAGCAGAATTAATTATCTCACGGGGGATAGCAGGAAGCAAGAACAGAAGGAAACCCAGCAGACTTGAGCTCAGGCCAGAGGGGCTGAACCTGACCCACTTTTCTCTCCACAGAAGCCTCCCCAGTGC